TGATTCTGTGATTTTCAGATTATCTCAAGGTGGAAAATATTTTGTTCCTTATGACTGTGGTATATGAAGGGCTTAGTCATATTGAAGTGGGGCAGAAATGTCATTTTTTGCTTCTACACCTCCTAAATTGTTTTTCTGCTTCCAATACCTACTCATTTCAATCCATTTTTACACCCTTTCAGAGTCATCTTTCTAAATTCATCTGACAGTATCCCCTCCCTCTGTGAGAAGTTCAACTAACTCTGTGTAGTTCACATGAGAAAGTCAAAGCTCCTTAGCTAAAGACCAACAAAATCTATCCTTGATCCATTTTTCCTTGGTCATCTTCTGCTACTTCTCACTTTTCATCCTATTCCGTCTCGGTGCAACCCTGTTACTCCACTAACACTGATGTTGTTGCTGTCACAATGATGTTTATTTGTCAAGTTCAATAGTTATTTTATGTCCTTATAAGACTCTTTCAGTGCACCTATCAGCATCAATCATCCTTCATCCTTCAAACCTCCTATTCCAATGTTTTCCCTAATTCCATTGCCCTGGCTTTCCTTTGACCTACCTTTTTTTTTTTTTTTAAAGGACATACTTTTAAAAAAATCTATTTATTATTTATTTTTGGCTGCATGGGGTCTTCGTTGCTGCGCATGGGCTTTCTCTAGTTGCAGCGAGCGGGGGCTGCTTTTCATTGCTCTGCGCGGGCTTCTCATTACAGTGGCTTCTCTTGTTGCGGAGCACAGGCTGTAGGTGTGCGAGCTTCGGTAGTTGTGGCATGTGGGCTCAGTAGTTGTGGCACCCAGGCTTAGTTGTTCCACAGTATGTGGGATCTTCCTGGACCAGGGCTCAAACCTGTGTCCCCTGCATTGGCAGTCAGATTCTTAATCACTGCACCACCAGGGAAGTCCCTATCATTTTAAGTTTGATCCCAGTCATAGAATTTACTTATTCGTCTTCCACTAGTCCCTTATATATCGGTGTTTCCCAGGTTTCATTTCCTGACACTGTTCTTCATTCTGTATAATTCCCCTGGATGATCTTACCCATTTTCGTGGTTTTGAAATGATCCCCAGATCTAAGTGTCCAGCCCAGGTCTCCAGTAACCCAGTGGACATTACTTTATGGATATCCTACAAGCACCTTAAGCTCAAACTCGACTGGACACATGACCCGACCTTACAACCCCTTTTTCTCCTTTATAGTTCCCAGCTCACTGGGCAGAAGCACCCCTCACCCAGTCTTCTACACCGAAGCCTTGGAACTTCATCACTTCTCTTTCTCCTCTTTCACTCCGTATCAAGCACTGAGTCCTGACAGTTTTCCTCTCTTAATATTTTTAAAATATATTCCCTCCTCCCTATCTCTACAGCTACTGTCTTAGTTCAGACACCCATCATCTCTTCCCTTTATAGCCTTCTAATTGGACTCTTTTCTCAGTCTCACCTTCCTTAAGCCATCCTCCTAAAATCCCCTCCCACCAAATCTATCTTAAACTCAACTCTGATGATGTCACTTCCTACCCCATGTAAACAATGAGAGATTGTTGGAGGTAATTTTTCACTTATATTGACTCTAAGATTTTGAGTTTTGAGTTTTGTTTGAAAAAATCTTCTGACCTATATAATAGGTCCAGCTTGCCTACCATATTGCACAAGACTATCGTACATACCCCTCACTTTGCCTCTGGTCATATAATGGTCTAGAATGTGCTCCTGGAAATTTGGGCTCCACCAGCCTAAAATTGCTAGGGTTCATTGTAAACAATATTTTGTTTCTTTCCATTGTGTCTTGGTTTTAATTATTCCATTCCTTTGGAATATTTATATTCTTTATCTATCAGCAATAGCAAGCCCTGTGCTCGCTCTGGCTATCTCTTAGTCATACATTAACTGTTAGCCCAGCATCATTTCAAGAAGTCTTCCTAGACAGCGCCCCCACCACCAGGGTACAATACACACACTCTAATTTGGTGTTTCATAGCACTGTTATGCTTTTCTTTTTCATAACTTTCTCAAAATTGTATTACATTTCTTGTGTCACTGATTCTCCCACTAATCTGTAGGTAAACTCATTACTGTATACCCAGTATCTAATAGAGTATCTGGCTTTCAGACATGTTCAGTAAATACCTATCAAAGTAAATTCTAGGGACACTAAACTCTCCACTCTACCATGGCCATTACGTAATCACTCATCCTCTAGACCTTGACTCAGATGTTTCCCTCTGACTTCTCCTATACTAGGTTCACCACTAGTGGACTCAACTCAACCTTTGGACCTTTGCCATCCATCTCCAGGCCTCATTCCTCCATCCCATGGCCCACTCAAACCCTTACATACCTCTGTAACAGCACTTTCTCTTGTGTAACAAAATGAGGTTTTAATGTGCATGCCTCTCAATTAGGGTATACATTAATTTTTTACACCAGGACCATGTTTTAATCAACTCAAAATCGCTATCAGGAAGAATAGTCCGAGAAATATAGTAAATGTATAGTTGTTAAAGGGAGAATACTTTGCCCAGATGCCTTTAACATTAAAAAAAAATGAATGAAAGGTTAAAGAGTGGAAAAACAATAGAATCAATTATAATTCTATTTTTCATGAATTCTGATAAGAGAAAGTATTATAATTATACTATTTGGCTATAAATTGAATTTATTTTTTAGAGAACAGCAGTGTGAATGGCAGTTTATTTTCCTGTTTTCTAATTGTTTATGAATAATATGTATTAACATTAAATTATAAACACATAGCAAATATTTCATTAAACTAAGAAACTCTAAATTACATTTATTTAGATAGCTTTTTGCCTATATTACCCATAACTTTTCATATCTAACATAAATTATTTGTTAAACCTCTCATTTTGGTTATAAAACATTGCTTTGGGATTGCAAAGCCACAGTTTCATAGGGCATTTTCATCATTAAGATATTGGCTGAATCAAGTCAAAGTATAAAATAGACAAAGCTTGGTTGTTGATATCCCTGGTCTTCCCATATGGCACTCATTTTTCCCTAAGATGCCTTATGATTGCATCATCTTCAAAATAGAACTTTCTATTTCACTTATCAAATTCACACCGTGGAACGCCTTAAGCAGAATATTCATATGTTCCTCCATTGTTCTACTTAAAGTACCTGCTAAGCTGTTGCTACTGCTCTTACCGGACAACAAAAATCACAGGGTGGCAGCTGCAAGCAGTACAGACTAAGTAACACACCTGCATTAGGAGAATACTCATTCTGGTTTAAAACCAAGAACAAGATTATTCATTCTGGTGACCTCCAGAATCTCTTTAAATAGATAATGCATGCTGAGGAAAATAAACTTCTGGTCTTTGAGTTCCTCACCAGTTTATTTTGACAGTTGGTGATTGTCTGTCTCTTGTTCCCACCTAGGTATGTATATTTCCCTTTTGCCATCTCCCACACTATCCCATTTAGGCATTGCATATTCCATATCTCTTGACCTCTGACTTGGGTCTAACAAATCTAATTATTTGACAGTTATGGAAAAAGAAAGAAATGTGATACCATATGCTAGTTTTTATTTAATTTCTATTTTTAATATATTTATGTCACTTATGGTATTCTTAATAGATATAAATTATAAGTAGTGTATAATAAAGTCAAAATATGCATCATTTACCTAAAAGAAGAAAGTAGTGATCATCTAATTCCAGGGTTACATCACACAGATCATGTAACTCTCATGGCATACTTTGCTCTTCATGATCCTCAAAGATCCGTGTTTAAAAATGTAGCCTAGGGCTTCCCTGGTGGCGCAGTGGTTGAGAGTCCACCTGCTGATGCAGGGGACACGGGTTTGTGCTCCAGTCCGGGAGGATCCCACATGCCGTGGAGCCGCTGAGCCTGCGTGCCCAGAGCCTGTGCTCCGCAACGGGAGAGGCCACAGCAATGAGAGGCCCACGTACCGCAAAAAAAAAAAAAAAAAAAAAAATTTAGCCTACGTTTATTAGCTAATCGAAGTTAGATGAGTGGCCTGGCTAAAGTCTAAGAAAAGCAACATTTCCAGGACCTCCATCCATTTCTTTTGAGCTGCCACTTGGAGCATTTATTTATGTGGGTACATTCTGTGCTTGTGTTCAATAATACAAAATTCGGAGATGCCTTGGTGTTGGATAAATTACTGAGATATTAGAGCAAAATAGGATCAGATTAGGTAATGAAAATTTCTTTCTTCCATGGGTAATTTATCTTTTCACTTTTATCACAAGTTGTGCTTTCAATTTTTAAGTTTTTTGTTAGAATTCAAATGAAACACATTTTCCTGAGAGAAGTAATGGAATTGAACACTTGATGCTTCCGATGTCTGTAAATGATACTGTTATTCAATGTTTAAAAGAAATGGTCTTTAAGCATAAAGCTGGCATAATTCAGTTTGTCTTCACTGTTCATTTGTTTGCTTAATTAAATTCTGGCTTTGGCAAAACCTCAATAAACAAACTGCTTGTGGAAGATACTCCTTAATAACAAAAGCTCACAAACTGGACTCAGGTCAGATGTTAAGTTGACTTGTTCAGTCAGTGTGCAATGAAAGGAGGGCCTCTTGTTTACCTTATTGGTGTGAGAGGAATACAAGTGTGAAAGAACATTCTGGTTGCAATTCAGCATTTCAGGAGCTGAAGTAATTGAGGACAGAGTTACCAGAGAAAGGGAAACTCCTGGATTATTGCTTTTCGACAGTGTTAGATTCCACTGGAAATTGCACTTTTTGTGTGTACACACAGCACTCCCAGTTGAAAGAAATTATGCACATATCCTTGTGGCAAATCACATTCTAATTAAGCCACTTCACATTTGTGAATGAGAAGTTTTTAAAAGGCTGAAATTGCTTTCTCTTTCAATTAGTAATTGTAAGAGTTTTCTCTCCTTTTCATAGATAGAGTAGAGGAATTACTTAATTGCTGACGTTAGAGGATACACTGCTATGTGAATTAATTAGATTCTCTTTTTAAAGCACTTAATGTTTTTGTCTTTCAGGCACTTTTCATGTCTGTCTTCTAAATACATGTGCCCCGGTGTCCCTGCTGTAATGAGTACCTTGCTGGCAAATATAAATGCTTTCTATGCTCACACAACTGTTACAACAAATGTACAGGTTTCTGCCTCAGATCGATTTGCCGCTACCAACTTTGGTGTAAGTATTATTTTTTGAACTTGAAAATTCCTCATAACTTATGGGACTTAGATTTTCAAGGAGCTTTGGATTCCAGATATTCTTAGAATCTTACTGCAGAATGTACATCTTAAGGAGTATCTCTTAGTGTAATAGACTAAAGCTTAAAGTTTATTTGAAACATGTTCAGTGAAATACCTTTATTTGACAGTCAGTAGGTATCTTCATTAGATTAAATCTTCATATCGGGAATGGCTTTTCCAATGGAGGAAAACATAACGTTTTGTGACAGAGTACTAGGATTTATAGAAAATCCTCCATGTAAGCAAATTTGGGATTAACCATGGAAGATATCATTCCCTCGTAAATGTGAGCTCAGTTGGCTTCTCTGGAGCCTTTTGGGTTCCATTTGCACTTCCTGTTGGTTTCTGCTGGTACTGATGGATAAAGGCATATCATCTAAGTAAAAAAAATGTTAGGTGTATAAAGAAGCCAAGAAAACTATCTGTATCTAATTAAAACTGTCCACCTGACAATCAAATGCATCAAGAACACACTGAAAAGTAAAAATGCAGGATCCTAAGGAGTCTCAAGTATTTATCTGATGTACCTGGTGCTGGAACCTGTTCTCCATAAGCATAATTAAATTGAAATTGACAAGACTAGATATAGGATATAAATAAACAGTAATTCCAGTAAAGTGGTGAAGATCTAAGCTGAGAATCAGTGGAGATGGGGTAGGGAGGACAAATTCCAGAGCTTTTCAGGGCATAGAATCAACAGCACTTGCTGTCTTTAGGTATGTGAACAGTGAGAGAAAGGGAGGGATGCCTGGAAAGAGTCCCAAGGTTTTCACCAGGGCAGTTGGTAGGCGGTAGCTCTGTTCAATAACCCTGTGAGACAGGTGGTTCTGTACTCATTTGTTTGTGGAGGAAACTGAGATCCACTGTAGGAAGGTGATTTCCATGACACCATAGTTACTCTTTTCACTGCACTTCCAAATCGGTTCACTGAATAGATTTGTGTTATTGATCATGTTGTTAGAAATCAAATTTTGAGGTGTGTGTCATAAAGTAGAAACAAATGAGACCCAGCTAATAAAAGGGTGTAAAGCCAATAGGGGAAAAAATGTGCTGCTATGTTTACTCTTTTCTTGTTCTTTTCATTTAAAAGAAAACACATGTGAAGTATGTGAGATCAGTTGGAATGAATTAAAAGAAAAAGTAATTGTTATTTAACGACAGTCAAAATAAATACTGGTAGAAGAGAACACTATCTGGGTTAAGAGTCATGGGGTTTGAGTTTGTACTCAAATTTAACAAGTCAGTTCAGTCATTCAAGCCTCAATATCTCAGTATGTTCAATGAGGGTAGAAATTATTGCTCTGACATGTTTCTCAAATTTAAGATGAAAATCAAATGAAGTAAAAGGTAAGCTAGTTTGTAAGAGTTGAAAGTGCTCTATAAATATAAGGTATGAGGATTTCATCTCTCCTGCCTGTCCTCTACTGTTGTTAGACAGATTGGCTCTTGTAAGAGCTGGGACCAAAGAAAATTCCCTAGTCAGCTCAACAAAATACTATTATGACCATCACCAGATCATAGAATAGTTTTTGTTATAAAAACCTCATGAAATTGTTTTGCTTTTAATATTCTGCCTGGGTATACTGTAGAGAATAAGCCAACCTTGTGGAACACTGAGCCTTTCTACCTCTGAGAAAGAAGATGTGTTTATATGACTAATTTCCATAAAAGCTACCTGGAGGAAAATGAGATAGTATGCTCCTTTACTTCATGCTGACCCAAAGAAGAGAAGCCAGATTGATTTCACTACTTTGCAGTGTTTCAGTAGCAGCATAGTTATAACAAAGTTCACTTTGTAAATCAAATAACGTATTGTAGGACAGGGTCAAAAAAGAAATCTTTCTTCAAACTACATCTTGATAAGTTAGTGATTTGATGTGTAAATTTGATTAAATTTTTCTCTACCTATTGAAAATAATGCTAGTTGCTCAGTCAAATATAATAAGTATAAAGCTTCCCACCTTCACTTGGCCTGAAGTTCTTATTTACCTGACTTCTGAAGTTGATACTGTCACTTGTGAATCAGGCAGGAACACTATTATATTGGCCCCTTTTTATCTTTCCCAAAGGTGGAATCCAGACATTTTTCAATCTCAAAAAATAAACCAGTGGAAAAGTTTTCTTACCTATGAGGACTGTAAAACAAACAAATATTTAAGAAAAGGAAATCATTACTCTTTCCAATCCAAACTTTTTGTGTGCAAATGTTATTTAAAGTCATGCTTTGGATGAAAAATGTTCAAGAATAAAGTGAAAAGAACAGAACCATTGAGTGTGGAGATGAGAGAGAAGCAAAGTTTGCTGAGGAAAATGATTAGAGAAATTGGGTAAAAATGATGAGAAAAATCTGACGTTATTGAAGACAAGGTAAAAATATTTTAAGAAAAGAGGAATATATTGCATTGTCAGCTGTTGCAAAAAGTTCAAGTAAGATGGCGAAAGGAATGAGCCTGTTGGCGTTGGCAATTAGGAGGTCATTGCTAAGTGAAGCAGTTGAGGTTAAAGCCTAATTTCATAGAGATCTTCAATGAATGGCATGTATGAATAGCTGTGTCAATTAGGGTTCATTTATTCCCTAAAATATAATGCAGTCATTTAAAAAATCAAACTTTTAAAGAAAAGTGTATATAATTGAGCAATGCCCATTAAAAATGACAAATGAAAATATATACATATAAAAATCTATATATAATCTAATTCCAACATTGAACACACACACACACACACACACACACACACACATACATACATATACATATACATATATATATACGGGTTTAGAAACAAGCCTGAAAGAAAATGTGCCAAAATGCCAATAGTGTAGCCACTTGGTGGGATTACAGCTAATATTTTCTTGTTTTTGTTTTGTATTCATCTTTATACTAAAGTTGTACATTTTTCTATAGTGTATTTGTATTTTATAATAATGATTAAAAGAGGGAAAGTGGGTGATGAAATAGAGACTAACCTGTTAAGCAACTTGAATGAGAAGGTAAGAGAGAGATTGGTCAAGAGTGAGAAGGTTTTACCATGAAAAAAGAGATGTTACTTTTACTGCGTGGTTGGGTAGGAGTTTTTGTTATTTAATAAGATAAATTTTAACATATTTATAGATTGTTAGGACATGAACTAGCTGCAAGAACGAAGTTGCAAATTTATCAGATGGAGAATAAGTGATATAATAACATCTCAGAGGAGAAAGAAGTAAATGTAGTCAAGAGGATGGAAGGAGGGACATTCTTTGGAATAAGAAAGGACAAGTTCCTATTCTGAAATTTGAGGAAATGGTGTGTGAGTCCTTGCAGAGAATGCTAAGCTTCTGATATAGGAGTGAAAAGTTGATGGAATCATACTATATTTCCCTAATCTTCTCTGTGGTTGTCTACAAGACAAGAAATGCTTATATATAAGACAAGGGCTATGATAGAGATGCACAAGGTAGAGGAGGCTGGAAAAAGGGAAGGGAATAGAAAGACAAATGCTTCAGGATCACATAAGAGGAATTCCTAGCATAAATCTGTTGTTACAACAATTCGTGTGGCTGTGAGTTTTTCTCAGAATTTCTCAGCGTTCAGATTCTGATGTAGTAACATATAGCAGAAGGTTGAAATTTCCCACACACACACAAGATAGAGATGATTGAAGGGTTAGGGAATTAGCATGTAGGTGACACTATCAAAAGAAAGTTGAAGTGATTCACCATGGGATCTAGGTTTGATAAGTGGCACCATGATAGAGACAGAGATAATGGATTTGGGTAGGAACATCGTCCATGTAGTTAAGATTTCAAAGGGGGAAGCCTCAGGTCCAAGATGTATCTCTAGGAGTAGGTTGTTGAAAACTGAGTGTAAAAACAGTGGTGTACTGGAGCTAGTTTGTACCTGCTAACAGGCAGTGATTGCTGAATTTTTAGGACTATTGCAGGCTGGTTGTTGAGTACAGCCATCTTGAAACTGGAAATACTGAGAGTATTTATACCATGAAAACTGTCAAATGCTAAAAATCAAGGCTTTTTTCTTTTGGAGAGATGGTTTTGTTGCACACCCTTGAATGCAGAGATTGCTGGGAGTCAAGATTATCAAAGAACTTGATTGGATAAAACATCTCCATGGGTGTTGAAACACCGTGGGTAGAGCAAGAGTTGGAAAGGAAGAAAACTCCATGAGGTGGGGGTCAGTTTTTCAACTTTGAAGAAAAGTCTTTAGGAAACTTATTTAGTTAGTTATCTTAAGACACAAATAGCAAATTATTAGTAAAATTGATGTTTAGCTCAATTTTTTCTTGAGCATAGATACCCTCTGACATAGCCAGTGCCCTGCAAAAACAAGTATGCTAATAAATATTTCCTTTTCATTACAGGTATTCTTTTATTTGGTTGCTTGTTCATTCAAGACATATTTATGTGATACCTCATTTAAGGCACTATGGCAGGTAGTAGAGGGACTGGAAGATAAATGTTTACCTCTGTTCTCTGGGTACTCTAATGGGATAGTCACCTAACCATGTGTAACAGTAACCATAAATCACTCCCCAAATGGGATAAGTGTCAAAGGAGTTCATACTTGTAAATTTGCTTTGAGATTGAGGAGGAGAAAGTGATGGATACTCTTCAGAGGCTCATGGAAGCTTGCCAAAAGGAACAGTGCTTTTAGGAATGAGTAGTATTTTTCAAAGTCCAAGAAGTAGAAGGAAAACTACCTTAGGTCTTTGAAGTAAAGACAAGGAGAAGATACAAAACTAAGTTCAAAGTGTGTGTAAGGTAGCCTGCCTAGTGAATAGTGCAGATAGAATAAAAGATGGAAATATAAGAGAACATTGTGTTACTGGATTGATATTAGATTGCTGAGGCCGTTTAATGCCCACTCAGATGTTTGGACTTCATTCTTGAGGCATCGTGTAGAATCTGATTGAATTTCTGATTTAGAAAGGTCACTCTGTAGAGGAAATGTTGCAGAGGGGAGAGATAGAATGTATATCAGACAGCGATTCAACTATACGGTGATGGATGGGAACTAGATTTGTGGTGGTGATTGCTTTCTAGTGTATACAGATGTCAAATTATAATACTGTTTGCCTGAAACTTATATAATAATTTTAAAAAATCAGCACTTCCTCCTGATCACACAGCCATGCCCCAACATATGTGTTCCTTTTCCAAATCCCTGGGAAACCCGAACTTTCTGATAAAGTGACAGGAAATGCTTACAATCATAGAAAATGCAAAAAAAAAAAAAATGTTATAAAAAACATTTAAAAAAAAAAAAAAAGAAAAGAAAATGCTCTAAAAATAAAAAAGGGAGGTTAGGACCTAGTGTCAAGAAGAAGCTTGTCTAAAGTTTAGTCAGACTGAGAGAAACGTTAGGCTTTCATGCTCAGTGAACAGTAATATCTCAGTGCTTTTCAAGTTTACCTATTAAGTGACTTCTTATATACTCTTTGAATTTATGTCATCTATTAGTGTGTCATTGATAGCATTGTTTCGGTGGCATTTTATAATTTTATGGTATCTCTATTGGTATGAATATTAATCTCAAATCAACAAGAAATGCAAATGTATTTCCAGTATGTTCATATGATTAGCATTAATTAAATTATAAAAAACTTATCAGAATAGCTTACACATTAATTCTACTTGAAATGTTTCTGTTCTGCTTAAAGAATGACTGCTTTCGATATGATCTGGAAAAAACTTTTTATAATTTGCTGGTTCAGGTCAGAATAATTTTATCCTATTCTTGTAAATTTATGAAAACCTAAGAGCAGGTTGCACATGCAGCTAGGGCTCCTCCCAGGGAAGCTGAATCAAGCGAGGACCCTGAGAGCTTAAGCATCATTAGCTTCAGGTTAAATCTACTGCTGCTGCTGGACTGAGATACTGAGAAGCAAAAGAATGGGAGAGGGAAGCTGCAGATGATGCAGAGGTTTTTACACATCTTCTTTATAAGAGCTTTTCCTTCCACGGTTCCCAGTGTCCTAGGGAAACTTGCTAAGAGTGTCCTTGTGGGGTAGTAACTGCCTCCCCCTACTCAAAATCTCCCCTCTTCTCATGGGTCAAAACTGGCCCACCAACTGGTTTTGTACAGCTCATGAGCTAAGAATGGCTTTTACATTTTTAAATGGTTTTTAAAAATCAAAGGATTGTCATTTGTGATACATGAAAATTGTATGAAATTCACGCTTCAGTATCCATAAGCAAAATTTTATTGGAAAACAACCATGCTCGTTTGTTTATATATTGGTTATAGAAGCTCTTGCGCTACAATGGCAGAGTTTAATAGTTGTGACAGAGGCCACAGAGCTGGAAATATTTACGATCTGCCTCTTTACATACAGTTTGCTGACCCCTGGTCTAGAGTTATTCTTGTCAACTAATTAAACCTAAATAGTTGATAACAGATAATGCTTAATGTTAATATTATAGATTTAGCCCCTAATAGCAGACATATGCAGTCCTTACCAAATGCAAAGAACTGAATAACGTGACAGTTTCAGATATTGTGGCATGTCCCTCGAGAAACATTTTTTTTTTTTTTTTTTTTTTGGTGGTACGCAGGCCTCTCACTGTTGTGGCCTCTCCCGTTGTGGAGCACAGGCTCCGGACACGCAGGCTCAGCGGCCATGGTTCACGGACCCAGCCGCCCCGCGGCATGTGGGATCTTCCCGGACCGGGGCACGAACCCGTGTCCCCTGCATCAGCAGGCGGACTCTCAACCACTGCGCCACCAGGGAAGCCCGAGAAACATTTTTTAATCGCAGTGTTTTCTTATTCCTCAAATCACACCATGTAGGTGATAGGCCTCCTGTGCTCTCACAAAGGCAATCTCACTCAAGTTAAATAGAAATATGGCAAATGAAATAAAATTTCAGGCTGTCCTTCTGTTTAAAAATGTCTGTGAAAATTCTATCAGGAGCTCACTTTTAATTTCACATCATCTGATATTGTTTGGGATTTAGCAACAACATGCCTGGCAGTTTTCTCCACGGTTTTCTATTTTTCTGGAATGTAAATTTTCCAGCTGGGCACTGAAGACCTAGGTTGGAAGACTAAATGTGTGATCTGTATCAGTCAGAATTCTGTTCAGCTGCATGAAATAAATTCAACAAACCTGACTCAATATTCTTTCCCATGTAACCTAAGTCCAAAGGTAATAAGGAATTCAGGGCCAGTACAGCTGCTCAGGATTGTAATTTTTTGAAAGGGTAGGCAAACAGAGTTAGGATGAGGTGTGGAGGCTCCTAGCTTCCTGCCTCATCATTCTTACCATTTGTTTAGCTTTTCGTCTTATAGCCACGGGATGACTATTTGACCTTCTAGTATCTCATCTGAGTTTAAGGTGAGAAAAACACAAAGGGCAAATGGAAAAAAGGCCTAACAAAGAATTATATAGCAAATACTAATACAACAACTCTGCAGAGCATTCTTTTAGAATCTTTCTAAATAATAATTCATCGGTAATATGCTGGCTGGTTCCATCCCCTTTAATAAACTGTATACATCTCATTGGCCAAAATCATGCTACATGGCCATTGCTAGAGTAAAAGAGGCCTGGGAGGGTAGGTGTTTCATAAAGGACATATTTGACTCTTGAGGTTCTGTTAGGAAGAGAAGAAGGGATATCGGGCAGACAACCAGAACAGCTGGTCCCACTGTACACAACAAGGCCAGTGATTTGGGTCATAGCGTGGTTGACTAGGGTCATGTCAGCTGTCTTAATGATTCATACCGATCACAGAGGTCATATAAAGCCTCCAGAGATTGACACAAACACATTGATTTTTACAGTCGTTGAATGATTAACTACTATGGCCTAAACCGATGATTGTAGCAGCTCTTTTATTTTTCTATTTTGATTGAGATCCACTGACCCACATTGATGGAGGATGGGGGTTAATCAAGGGCAACATAGGTCACCTGCTACCCTAGGAAGGTATGATAGAGAGTAAGAAAGAAAACTCTAAGACATTCATCGTATTTTCTGGCAGCTTTACTGGAGAGTCTTACTTGCCTAACAAGATAGCAAGCTTCTGGAAGGCAAGGGTCATTTCTTAGGCTCCTTCATTGCCTCCACAAGGGTTATTAACACAGAGTCAATACTCAAACTTTGTTCACTGATATATAAACCTGATAAAAGGCAGTTTATTAAGAAAATTGAAGTTTCAACTTAGGAACAATTTATCAACTCCCGTTAATATTCATCTCATTTCATCAAGATCAGTGACTTAAAGGGATAAGAGTTATATACCCCATAAATCCAACTTGTTCGTGAAACTACTAGGAAAAATTTCTACTTTTGCTAATATGTTCCACAGTGTAATTTGGTGTTTACATAATATTAGTCTAGGGAGGAGCCTTTAGTCATTTACTACCATCCCCCTATTTTTTTTTTCATTTTTATTTAGGAATCGGAGACTCAGAATGGTGCTTTGTCTACTGTAAAGTTTTCATGTGTGACTTTGATGGTTTTTTACCTTATCTAATTTACTTAATCCACACAACTATATCCTTATGCTTATTAGCAAAACGTTTTAACTCTTATCCTTTATCATCTTCAAATCCTTCTATGAAGAAGTCAGTCCATCCCTGATACAGCATCAGAGGGAGGCATTAGTAATTTTTGTTGACCTGATATTTTATAGTTTTTTAGCACTAAATCTTAAACATACTTTAAAGACAGTCGATCCTTTCAAATTATGAAGTCCGTTACCAAAAGGAAAATACTTTTTGCAATTGTTTTTGACACAAAGAGCAGCTAGTCCACCTTCCATAGGTGGGAGAAGTTTAAAAAAACTATAGTTTAATTTTGGGGAGGTGGTGTGGTGTGTGGAGGTGGGAAGAGGGGTGGGTTATATTCTCTTGTTGACTCATACTGCTGTGAAGGAGTACGGTGGCAATTCAGTTGTCTGGACTCTTTCTTCATGACTCAGCTCTTTGGATACTGTCTCATTCATCACAGAGAGGCAGTGTGACTTACAGGAAAGAGTGTGGATTTGGTGTCAGAGACCTGAGTTTGAATCACTGCTATGTCACATACCAGCTCTATGATCGTGGAGAAATCACTGACATCTTTGAACCTTCCTTTCTATCAAATGGGGACATTAACTCACAGAGATTTTGTTGTGAGGACTACATTTAGAATTATCATTGATTTCCATTCTCCTATTTTGTGTTTGCTTTGCACAGAGGGAAAAATTCATAAAACTACTGGACCAGTTGCATAACTCTTTAAGGATTGACCTGTCAAAGTATAGGGTATGTACAAAATTATTTGCCTAAAGGTAAAATATGGTGTTTGGCTCAGATGATTTCTTGTCACATTGTAAAAAAAAAGTTATCCACTATGTAATGGAAAAGTAAAGGTAATGATTTTGGAATCTTGGGTCCTGTCACACTAGACGGGTCCCCTAAGTAATCAAGTAGACATCTCTTGTTTAGGTACCTTGCTCCACATCAGCCTGAAGTACTCTGTGTGGGTGTGGGTGTGTGCACACTCATGTACAGGTTTAATTTTATAATTCTTTTAATAACCATTAGATTGAGTGGCCCTCAGCTAATTCATGAAGTAGACATGTGACCCAGTCCTCATCTTAAAAGCTCATCCCTTCTTACTAAGATATCCAGCTGATATTTCCTCAGCTTTTGATATTCCTTCTGGGATTCACCACTTAATTCACTCCTAGATCAATACAATGTGCGTTTTTTGAAGCTGTACAGAGTTCATTGTCAACAATTCTGTACTTCACCTGCAGGTGAAACACACACAAACTCACACATACACAAATATATTCATGTGTGTGTTTGTAAACACACAGATATAATTTTATTTAGAAAATACAGTTACCAAAAAATTTAGTTACAAATTTTATTTGCCAGAAAATCTATAGTAATAATTATTGCATTCTTTAACAATTTATTCTATAATAAATATCTTTCCATATTTGTACATATGTATCTTTCTTACATTCAATTTTTAGTCTCTTATTGATGGATCGCTTAACTGCACATTTCCGGAAATTATAATACCAAATTTTGTCAAACTTACCTTTCATGTCGGAACTGGGGCCAACACTATGAGAAGGGAACTGCTGTGACAGGCAATGAAAATGATATTTGGGGGCAAGAAGGACCTTGAGGCCGCCTCATTCATCATCACTTTGACACTCCAACGCTGCTTGAGTTCATGAATTCCTAAAAGTTACCTGTGGTTTTCCTAATGGCTCTTTAAAAAGCCTATCTGAAAGCACGTTAATATGAGAAATTTCTCAATGCTGAAATTGTTTCCTTAATATTTTCATAATTCCTCTCCTTTCCTTTCCTTCAAAATTCTGAACATCTGCATTTTTATCTCACATTTCTCACCAAACTTCACTAACAAAAACTTTTTGTTTAAATCTGCAGTACTTCAGGGAGAGACTATGCAGTGCAGTCTTCTTTTCTTTTTTTTTTTACTTTTAGCTTCTTTGTGACTAAAAGTAAATATAGGACATGTAAAATTTCCCAGAAGGATTTTGGAAAAAATAACCCATCTTGAGAAAATTATAAAAAATATTTTCAAATATATGCTCACCCTCCCTCTTTCAGCAGGAAACCTATTTTGTGAAACAAGGATGAATAACCTCATAACATTGCATTAATGATATTATTTTGTACATTTTTATTACATGGTGGGAATAAATAGAAGAATATGGCTTTCTAAGAGTAAGACAAGAATACTTCCAACTTGTTTATTTTCTGTGATATTTTACAGTAAAAATATTGTGAGAATACTGTGGTGGTACTTTTTAAATTTTACACAGTTTACTTACCATTTTCTTTCACAGAAAGTTAGTTGTAGTTTATTTGCCACTGGAGACTTAATGCTGATAATTTACCCATTTTCTGTTTCCTAATTAAACAGGAAAACTTTCCCGCCAGCAATGCTGAAAGATTGCAAGACCTGAAATCAACTGTTGACCTGCTAACAAGTATCACCTTTTTTAGGATGAAGGTACATCTTTTATTTTTGTCGCCGTCTTCGTGTGACATACATTTATTCCCTGGTAGAGTCTGGTTTTACCCTTCTCTCTTTTTTTTTTTTTTTTCCCCCGGTACGCGGGCCTCTCACTGTTGTGACCTCTTCGTTGTGGAGCACAGGCTCCAGACGCGGAGGCCCAGCGGCCATGGCTCACAGGCCCAGCCGCTCCGCGGCATGTGGGATCTTCCCAGACCGGGGCACGAACCCGTGTCCCCTGCATCAGCAGGCAGACTCTCAACCACTGCGCCACCAGGGAAGCGCTACCCTTCTCTTGATCAATACTGTTCATCCCCATTGATTAAGATGTGGTGCCTTTGCCTGAGCTAAATGAATCTTCCAACATAATGTGTGTTGAAAAAGAGATTATCCTAGACACTTAAGATATTCTGATACATTTGGCTCAAATTTAGTTTTAAGTTAAATTCATCTTAAACAGAGCTCTCTAGTGAGTGGACGTGACACTTACCGGAAAAAAAAAAAATCCCTAAGAACATTAAATGGAAATGGAGTTCACTTTGCATTTCAATTTTAACTGAGATGTCTTGCCGATTTTTTCATTGCAAGAGAGTAGTCTCTTTTAAGTTTACCCTTATTGTAGCAACTCCCATTTCCTGCACTGAGAATGTCTATATAGGAATATGTGTGATTGTTTAATCCATTGGTATAATTAACTGTTATCTACCAACCTATGCAAATATTTCTTTTTAGGTATATCTTCTCTGCTTTAATAGCAAGTTGTCTGCAATTATAATTTGGCTAGCCGGACAATTCATGTAAAGCCTTTCTTAAAACTACTTGTCAGGCTATGGGCTAAACATTTTTGCCCTTTGAAAGAGAGTTTATGATTTTTTATTCAGGAAATTCCTGTACAGATAAAATTAGAAATAATTATTTTTCTTCTTTTCAGTTGCCCATGATTATCTTCACTAAAACAATAAAATTGGTATTTTATAAGAGAGAAAGAAAACAAAACCATACTGTATAAACCATCCATCCTTTAAAGTTCAATTAAAATTCATTTGGTTTGAAGTCATGGTAAAATTAGGTGACTGGCATGAATAGAATTTACATCAATTCTGATCTGCTGGCAGTAGCTGCTGGAACAGTGCATAGAGGGTGATAGAACTGATCCAGGCTCTCATTGACAAGTGACGCCTGCCATTGCCATTGAGGGGGGTAGGAAAATGGGAGTGAGGGAGGAGAGTGCCAGCACAGTGCTCAATATCTGCCTTTCCTCAGTCACCAGCCTTGCAGTGTATAGGAAACAAATCATTTTTGTTTTGTTTGAAATTGAAAAATCATTTGAATTGAAAAATCAAATTGAATTGAAAAATCATTTGAATTGAAAATCATTGAATTGAAAAATCATTTCAAACTTGCAAGTCCTCCTCCCCCACCCTCACTACCAGCTGATGACCTTGCTTCTGATTTCACTGGAAAAACAGGAGCAACTACTGGAGAGCTTCCTCAAGGTCTGACCACATGCTCCCGCCACCCACCCATCTACTTACTTAGCTGCATCTGTGTCCATATTCTGTTCCTTCTTTTTTTTATTATGATAGCTTAGCTGTTTGTTCTCCTAAAAAAAAAAAAAAAAAAAAGCTGTATCTTCCACTGATGTAATTAATTTCTTCTCCTGAGTTACTAAAACAGTGGTCCAGCAATCTTCCTCACTCACCTGAATTATCAGTCTTCCACACTCTACTGGATATTCCCCATCACCAAACGTGCTATTATTTCCAGTCCTAAAAATATTGCTTGACTCCATTTTCTTCTACAGCTACTACCCTTATCCTTCTTTTCCTTTAATACCAAAACCCTTCAAAATAGTCCTTTTTACTTTTTCTTTCCAATTTATTTTCTTGAATTGTCTTCTGAACAAGTTTTCTCCTTCTTTTGTCTTTTTCTCCTCATTATAGACAGTAAAATTCACTCTTTTTGTCATAGTGATCTATTAGTTTTGACATGTGTGGTTGTATTAACCACCACTACAATAAAAATATAGAATAGAACAGTCCTATTAGCCTCCAGTATTCCCTTGTGCTAGTCCTTTATAGTCAGTCTCTCTCTCACCTCCTGATCTGTTATTGTCCCCCTATGGTTTTACCTTTTCCAGAACATCGTGTAAATGAAATAATAATCTATGTAGTGTAACATATTGGCTATTCAGCCTTCTTCCTGAGTGTATCTACAGTTCATTCCTTTTTATTGCTGAGTAGTAATTCTTTGTTATATATGATCTACAGGCATTTGGGTTATTTCCAGTTTGGGGTCATATCAAATAAAACTGTTAAAAATATTGATATATATATTTTTGTGTAAACATAAATTTTCACTTTCGTTGGATAAATAACAAGGAGAGAGACTCCTTGGTCATTTGGTAAATGTATGTAAAACTTTACAAGAAATGCCAATTTCAGTTGTTCTACATCTTCTGGTAAAGCTCTTGGCATTTTCCATGATTTGATTTGATTTTTTTAGCCATTCTAATGATGCCAAAAACTCAGCCGGCCTCTGTGCACCAGTGTCAAATCGAATCTCAGAGACAGAGTTTTGGGTGAAGTAGAAAAGCATAGCTTTATTGCTTTTCCAGGCAAAGCGGGGACACAGTGGGATCCTGCCCTCGAAAACTATGTGTCCCTACCTGGGAGGATTTGGCAAGGAGTTTTATAGCAACAGCTCAAGGGTGAGGTTGCAGGTAAGATTAGGGTGTGTGAAGGGCCTGCACTCCTTTAATCTGGCCTCAGGTAGTCTGATGAGTTTCTGTGGTTCCTTTAACCTGGTAGCCTTCTTGAAGAGCTTCTCTGGTTCCTTTAATCTGGAATGAAGAATGCTGGCATCTTCCACTTGTTGGGGGTTTTAGTTCTATAAAGAACTTAAAGATATTGTTACGTGTATCCCTGAGGCAGAGCCATGACCTGGCCCCAAGGCTGCACTCTTGTTTCTTGACTGCTCCTCCCTTGTCTGGGCATCCCCTCCCTTCCCTGATTAGCAACTGTTCTAATCTGCCCTTTGGAACTCAGGGAGGGTCATGGAGGCTGGAGTCTATTCCCTACAAACAAGAAATTGGGGTGAGAAAGACTTCCATGACCAGGAGCCCCACAGGGTCCTGCTCAGTTTCACTAATAGGAATGAAGTTATATCTTATTATGGTCTTAGTTTTATTTCTATATTAATTAACAGTGTTGATCATGCTTTCTTGAGCTGATTTGCCATCTGAGTTTCTTTTGTGAACAGTCTGTTGAAATGTTTTGCCCACTCTTCATTCTTACTGTTGAGTATTGAGTTCTTTATTTACTCTGGATACAAGTCTTTTGTCAGGTACTTTATTTGCTGATGTTTTCTCCCTGTCTGTGTTTTGTCTTTTCATTCTCTAAAACTATCTTTTGCCTAGCAAAAGTTTTTAATTTTGATAAAGTCTACTTTATCAGTCTTTCTATTTACAGGTAGTGCTACTGATGAAACTAGGGTCACAAAGATTTTTCTGTGTTTCTTCTAAAAGTTTTATTTTACCTTTTACGTTTAATCCTGGGTTCATTTTGAGAATTTTTTTTTTTAATAAGTTGTGAGGTATGGGTCAGGATCATTTTTTTGTATATAGATGTTCAGTAGTTTTCACACCATTTATTGAAGCGATCATCCCTTATTCATTGAATTTCATTTGCATCATTATAAAAAATCAATTGATCATATTTGTTTGGGTCTGTTTCTGGACTCTCTATGCTGTCCAAATGTCTATACTTTTACCATTACTATGCTGTCTTGATTACTGAAGCCTTATAACAAATCTTAAAATTAGATAGTTTTAGTCCTTCACCTTTTTTGTTACTTTTCAGAATTGTTTAATAGATTATATTAGTTCTTATTGGGATTTTGGTTGGGATTGCATTAAATCTATAGATCAATCTTTAGAGAACTAAAAATTTTTAAATATTAAATCTTCAAATCCACCCTTATTTTTGGAACCTACTCCAATTAGACTTTTAATCCATCACTTCACCAAAAATGATCTTGTCAAAATCACCAGTGACTATCACTTTGCTGAATCTAGTGGTCAGTCATCAGTCTTCATCCTACAGTGTTCAGTATCACGTAATATATTTTATCAATCCCTCCTCCAGGAAAGCCTTTCTTCCCTAGATTCCAGGACACCCCTCTTGCTTCTTTTTTCGCCTATCTCATTGGCTGCCTTTTTTCTCTTCTCCATTGCTTTGTTCTTTCTCATTTGTCTAATGTCATAGGGCTAGAATTACCCAGCGTTTCTCTTTTGGACCCCTTCTCTTCTCTGTCCATACTCATCTAGTCTCATTTCTTTAAAGTCTTCTCTAAGCTAATAATTCTCAAATTTATATCACTAGCTCAGGCATCTCTACTACTCCAGACTCATTTACCCAAATGTCTGTTTGAAATCTACTTGTATGCATGACAGGCTTCTCAATCTTAACCTGTCATAAACTGAGCTCCTGATCTTCTAAGGATAGTCTTGCTCATCTAGGTTGAGACCACTTCCAGTGTACCAGTTATTTAGGACTAAAACCTTGGTGTTAGGCCACCCCCCATAGGCCGACAAGGCCTGTACTTGCCCATCTTCAAGACCAAAGGAAGAATCCGGAATCAGCAACAGAGACGTCAATGGTTTAATGGATGGGGGATCTTATGTGTCTGAAGCAAGGTCCTGGAGTGAGACCTCACTGTGTGCTCCAGGCTCTTGGCCGGCCCTGAAGGCAGCCTTCACTCCTGGGAGGAAGGGGAGGTTCCCAGTTATAGGGGAATTGATGTCAGGTTGGCCCCTCAGTTACCAGGGAAACCAGCAGAGGGGCATATCCCTCACCACCCCTTTGATAGGTTTCCATCGGGGCTAAAGTTAGACCAATCATTAGCTGGGGCCTGGGGCAAGTATGTAGGAAGATCAGTCAGGTAGTAGAGTGTGGCTGAAGTAGGCACTCGTGGAGCAGGAGATGTACAGAGAGCAAGAGGACAGCCGTCTTGGGTGACCTGATCATATACTTGGGGTGTCTTTCTCTCACACTGCTCACCCAATCTGTCAGCAAATCCTGTTACCCGTTCCTTCCAAAATTAACCAGAATAGAATTTCTTCTAACAACTCCTTGCTCTACTGTAGTTCAAGCACTGTCTTCTCATGACTGAATTATTGAACTCTTCTCATCACTGGTCTTTCTGCTTTGTCCATAGCCGGCCTTAAGGCAGCATAAGGGAGCCTTTTAAAAAAATAGGTCACTTTCCTCTTCTGCTCAGATAGTCTGCTTTCTTCCCACCTTGCTCAAAGCTAAGGTTCTTGGAGTAGTCTATTTGCAATTTTTCCACTGGTCCCATCCTGTTACTTCTCTGAATTGATCTACTATTGAAGTCCTTTGTATTAAATTCTATTCCACTGAAACACTTTCTATCCCTCTTCTTCGGTTTATTTTTTTTTTCAGCATGCAACATCATGTAATATATTTTACTGATTTCTTTTGTTTATCATCTACTAAAATTTAGCTTCACGAGGAAAGGGATTTTTGTTTCTTTTGCTCACTGCAGTATCACCATTGTCCGATGTATAGTAGGTGATGATAAATATTTGTTGATTGGTTGAATGGAATGAATGAATGATATTGTGATTGGTCACTTTAAGTATTTCTATTTGAATATTTACAACTATGCTCGTTTTCTCTGAGTTGTTATATTAGGACGTTAAGGTGGGTGTTTACACATTTAAAACATTTCTAAGACCACATTTCTCCTGAATACAGAAAGTTCAACTAAAAGTGTTTATTGAATATTGTTTGATTGTTTATATGGTTTATACAATGTTTTATTTTTGAATTTAAGAAAATATTTTGTCTACCAGGTTCTGGAGCTGCAAAGCCCCCCAAAGGCCAGCGTGGTGGTGAAAGACTGTGTCAGGGCTTGCCTGGATTCTACGTACAAGTATATTTTTGACAATTGCCATGAACTCTATTCCCAGCTAATAGACCCGGTAAGAAAAGATGTGTGTCTACTTTCTGTTCTAATGTCTGCTTCCATAAGTTTAGAATGACAGTAAGTGGGAAAGTATGTTCATTCAACTTCACGTTAACTGCAGGTTTTAAGAATTTCCATATCTTTTCTTCACATTTGAACATCACTTTCTTATATATGAGAGTGAAATAATTCACTCCTTAAAATAACTTCATGTATTAAAGGTGGATATTGTTGTTCAAGTTTTTCAGGTGAGGAGTTCGTTTCAAAAGAATTAAGTGATTTTCTCAAGGTCACACAGTGGGCAACTGGCAGTTTTGGGACTAGAATTTAGGATTTCAACTCCTACTTCTATGTCCTTCCCCTAATTCATCTGCTTCCCTTATCATTTTTTCTCATAAAACTGATAGATTGGGACATATTTATAGAACAGGATGGTAACATTGTCACATATGTAAATTTATTATTAAGAAATATTTCTAAAAAGAAAATACAGAAAGTAAATCAAACATGCATATACTTACCACGTAGATGACCAACTGTTAACATTTAGCAATATTTGCCCTGCTCTTTATTGTTTAAAGCCATTAAATGTTAGACATAAATTGGCATTTCACTTTGTAGCTCTTTCAAATTCCATTCTCCTCCCCTCCACTTCCTTCAGAAATGAACACTGTTTTAATATTGGTGAGTTTGAACGTCTTTTCACATATGCTCAATGAACACTTCAGTTTTATTTTCTGTATATCACCGATTAATTCCTTGCTGATTTTTCTCTTGGCTTGCCTGTCTTTTGCTTATTAATCTGTAGAAAATTCTAAAATATATTTTGGATACTAATCTTCATTGGTTATGTAATTTCATATATTACTTCTCTTTATTTGTGATGTGTCTTTTTGTTGCATTGAAGTTTTTTAATGCACACTATGATTTTTATATATCGCTATTACTTCTATAGAACTGTTGTTTGGGGATGGCTCTTTAACATGTATCTATTGTCTATCCACTTCTCTGAAGAATGCAGTTGCTCAAATAGATATTGAAAACCTGTGGAACTTCCTGGTTAGTTGAGTGGGGCAGATTCTAGAAAGCCGATGTTGGATGAAGGCGCATAGGACTCTTTCAAGCTAGGTTTCAGGCTGGGTTTCTTACAGTATTCATCTTTTCTGGGGTCACTGACTCCTTAGCCTAATAGGAGAAAACATTAAAGCTGGAGTCTGTCATTGTATAAGCAAAACAACATAAAACCACATAACTGTTCTTAACTTTAGCTTAACATTCCCACTATGTGTGCTCTTGTTTGGAAACTTGGTTCTCTGGGATTTCTGGGGATTAAATTTTCTCTGACTTCAAATCTCCCCTTGGGTGGCTTTCTAATGTCTTCCCTTTGTCTATTCCCTACTCTCTATCTTCCTCCCACAAAGCTCTTTCAATTCTTCCTCTACATTTTCAACATCATCTTTATTCTACCCAAAATATAAAAATTAAGCTTTTTATTATACCATATAAGTTACCCATACATAACTTTATAATCAATCTTACCAGGCTTTACCACCTTTAATTTCCTACTCCTTGCAATTCCAACCTCAAACTGGTCCCTTTCATGAGCCCTAAATTCTATTATTTTCTATGAACTGGCCATCTTCTTTTACATTCATGTGTTTATCCTGTTCTGTCTGCCTAAAATGTTCTTCCCCCATCCTCTGCCTTCAAAAAATCCAACTTAAATATGACCTCCTCTCCTACTAATTCACACTCAGTGGATGAATCAAATCATCACGGTCAAGTGTCATACCTTATTTAGTGTCTTTCTAATATATTAATACTAATAATAGTAAAATAACAGCTTTATATAAGATATATAGAAATACGTGCAGTTCCCGTAAAGCAAACATACCCCTAATAAAAAGCAAATAAATTGTCACGTCAAAATGAATCTAATATAGCTTAATATTTGCTTATTTGGCTTCAAAAACAATGTTTGCATGATTTTCTAACTAACTGGTATTCATTTTATGTGGGCAGATTTATAGATTTTATATGAAATCTTGTCCATGTGGAGATTGTTTGGAGCTAAGCTTTAAATCTAAGAAAAAGACTTTTCCTTAAACATTGTTATCATTTGAAATTCTAAAGGAAGCACCCATTGGGCCTGAATAATTTAAGAAACTAATACTCCCTAGAGCCCTTCTGGAACCATCTTGGAAAAATTTTAATAATTAAGGCTTATCTCCCCTCAGTTGACTGTAACCCCATTCTCCGAGGAGCTCAAGTTTTAAGACCTTTTTCCTTCACACTATACATCTGAATTGTCCTCAAGTTCTGATGACTTTATTTTCAAAATCAAACACCTTATCTTCACAATACATCCAGAATCTAACCACTTTTCACCACCTTCACGCTCCCACCTGGTCTGAGTCACCATTGTTGCTCACTTGGATTACTACGTAACTTACTAACAGAGCTCAGTGCTTCTACCCTACAGCCTCTGCCTATGTTTAACAGAGCAGCAAGAATGATCCTTTTAAAAAGTAAGTCAGATTATGTCATTCTTTTCCACATAATATTCTAAAGTCCCTTCATTTTTGTCATGTTCAAAGTCCTTTCAATGGCAGTAAGACCCAGGATCTGCCCATATTGCACCTTCCACCCCACTTACTCTGTTACTCTGTCCTTACACATATCATCGTGAGTGGAGAGGAAAGTAACATGAACAATGCTGTATCTCTGGTACCTGCAACAGTGCCTAGATCATAGTAGGTGCTCAGAAATGTGTTTGTCGAATAAATTGAATGAATGAATAAACAGTTACTTTTCTCAAACAATACAATAATAAATTACAGGTTATTTGGCCCTTTATAAACAAGACTGAAAGAAGTGCTCTATCATAGGGGACTCTCAGTCCTTGCCTAAAGCCTCTTGCAGTTGTATGGGGTAGTGTTGCAGGGTCCTGGACAAGATATGGGAGGAACTGATGAAAGCTACATCTAGTCCCAACCCTTAAAAACATCCTGAAGTTTCCTCCAGCTCTCTCTCTTCTGCGTAGTAACCTGGAAGGACACACATTCCACATGGTATGGATTCCGGGTGGAGGACGGCTATCCAGCCAGCTTCAGCAATAACCCATTACTGCAGTAACTTACTGAGGTTAGGAGATTTATCTGTTACCACAACAGACTTGGCTTATTTTGACTAATAGACCTTCAAATCCATTTCCAACCTGCCTCCCAAACTGTCTACTTTAAACATATATGACTGTCCTATCTGTAACCCCCATTCACTCATGGGATTAAGTCTAAACTTTGCAATTATTCAGAGGTCCTCTAAGATGTGAGCTCTGACTAGCTTTCCTTATTTCAATGTAATTTCCCCCTTGCTTTCTGTGATTCAGGACACTAAACTCCATGATGCCTCCATCCGCATTGTTTTTATCTACCTGGATTTGCTTCACCTCCCCAAACCCCTTCGTGGCTAACTCGAAGCCAGAGTTGCCGGAGTTGCTGCTGTCTGCTCTCATGATACCCTGACATGTCACCACTAGCACACTTACCGTGATGCATTTATTAGGAATATAATGTAATATTTGTCTGGCTTGTCTTCCCTACTAGGCTGTGAGTTTCATCTTTGTAGCCCCAATGTTCAACGCTGTGCTTTACACAGAGTACAGTTGATTAAATAATTAGTAAGAAAGAAATTTTATAAAAACAGCACTCTGTAACTTATTTATATTCTACTTCACTGACTCCACTTCAAAGTCTGTGGTCAAGAACATGATGTTTGAACCCCTGAGTTTAGATCCTGCCTCTACTGCTTATTAGTTTGGTCGCCTTGGATGAGGTAGTCTGCCTCTTCAACTCTCAGTTTCTTCATCAAGACATACTTTTAGTATTCATGCCACTTGTGTTTTCATCTGAGTTCGCTCTAGATAATGTAATGCCTGAAACCAAGAAACAAGAGTTTCAGGGTTGTTAGGCACAGTATAATTCTGATTATTTAAATGTAGAAGCTCTCTTTCTTTCTCCAGAGGGGTTTTGAAGAACCATATAAAAATAGTGCTCAGAATAAAGATGAAAAACAAACTTGAGAGGTAAGTTGAAATTGTTGCAGTTAGAAGAAATAGCTAAAGAAGGCTAGTTGCACACTCATGGAGCAGGTTTTACCTTGGGTGAATCACCATGTCCATGTTTGTCCTTCAGTTTAGCAAAACTAAGAACTCAGGTGTGGCAATGTGGACATAGGTGATTGATCTCTTGCATAAAGACACATGAGGATCAATCTATAAACTAGCCCAATGTTCTAATTATATTTTTAATTAATAATGAGTTTAAGAATCTCTCATAAGCTTATTAGCTTTTTGAGTAACCATTTTTATAAATTACCTATTCATAGCTTGTGCTTATATTTTAAAATAGAATCTCTTTTTCTGGTTGCTATTCTAAAGTTACTTAGCTCTTTGTCGGCTTTTGACATTGCAAAGGTGTTCACAATCCTTCTTTATCACAGCGTACATTTGTAAGAAATTCTCATTTTTAATATAATCAAATTGACCAATTTTTCCATTTAAAATTTGGAGTATTAAAAAGTCTTTCCCACTCACCCCCAAATAGAGGATCTCCTTACGTGGAACTTAATAAAATGAATGTGTTCCACCTTCGTAGTAATCACCGTTAGGATTGTCCAACTAGTTCCCCTGCTGTTGCTCCTAAAGCAACCTTCAGATTATGGATTTTCTTTTCATGCAGATGATCTTCCAGGAGAGGACAAGCCAATACATTTTCAAGTCTGTTTGAAATGTTTGGTCTTTTTTTTTTTTTTTTTCTATCTTAAAGAAACTGTCGTTTGTTCCCTGAGGTGTCCTCAGAACCTACACTAGTGCCTGGCATATTAGAGTGCCTTTAGAGTCCCTTTGTTTCCCTCCCAAAACAAATTTCCCTGCCTCTTACCTCTGAGGCAGTCTCTATTATTAATTTGATATTAGCTTTCTGGCTCATCTTTATGAACATTTATTATACGTGTCTA